ATATATATATATATATACATATATATATATATATATATATATATATATATATATATATATACTATATATATATACATATATATATATATATATATATATATATATATATATATATATATATATATATATATATATATATATATATATATATATATATATATATATATATATATATATATATATATATACTATATATATATATATATATATATATATATATATATATATACATATATATATATATATATACATATATATATATATATATACATATATATATATATATATATATATATATATATATATATATATATATATATATATATATATATATATATATATACATATATACATATATATATATATATACATATATACATATATATATATATATATATATATATATATATATATATATATATATATATATATATATATATACATATATACATATATATATATATATACTATATATACATATATATATATACATATATATATATATATATATATATATATATATATATATATATATATATATATATATATACATATATATATATATATATATATATATATATATATACATATATATATATATATATATATATATATATATATATATATATATATATATATATATATATATATATATATATATATATATATATATATACATATACAGATAGTCCCCTACTTAAGAACATTCTACTTATGAACATTCCATACATACAAACAAAATTTTTTTAGTACTAAAGTCCAAAAAATTGTTTGAAAGATGCTAGCAAACTTCAAATTTCCCGGGCACGAATATAGTTCAAGAGTCTGGTACTTTATAAGTTATGTCATACTTATTGGGATTTATTTACAGGTATTCTTAATGTAAACAAAAAGGTAATGGAGACCCGACTTTCAACATACAAACAAATCAACTTACAAACATCCTATCGGTCCCCATTATGTTCTTTGGGGACTTATTGTATATATATATTCCCCCCCCTTTTTTTTTCACTTCAATAAGCAGGGATTAGTCTATCAAATCAATGCTTATGATACTGTCAATCATAAAATTAAAACTAATATAGATATTAGTACATTCAAGGAAATGTAACACAATGAGTAAATTCAAACTAATGTCAGTGGTCAATAAAATCAAGGAAACATTATGAAAACATTTGTATCTGGCATGCCAATACATGTAGACTTACTCCGTTTGCTCCTTCACCAGATGCCATAAATGAGGGAAGTCCTACTTCAACATTAGTTCCTTGTCTAAATACGACACTGGATCCCGGTAGACCATGGCCCTTTAGGGTTCTGTAGTAAAGGATATAAAGCATATATGTGACAGATTGTGGAATGAACTACTTTTCTTTCTAACAATAAGTAAAATATTTAACAATGTTGCATTTTTTCTTGTAAAGAATACTGATATACATACAAATTATAATATATAACAAACATACAAACACTTATTCTAAATGTTACTTACATATGACGACGGTTAAAGAATACATAGAGAGCTGCTAGAGCCCCAAGAACCAAGATAGTAAGTACAATAGGCACTACCACCGTGGCTGGTGACCATGGTTCATGTGAGATTATGCGTTTGGCAACGTAATTTTCACACAGTAAACCAGAATAACCATCGGGACATTCACAGCTCAAAGCAACCGAGTGATTCAGTGCACAAACTCCTCCATTTAAACAAGCACAACCCAGTGGTTTGGCTTTAATTGGTTCATGTGCTGTAAATATTAATAGTTAATTAGTAGCATATTCATGTATCATCAAAAACTTAACCCCTATGATCCGGATGATGTGACCATCATATGCCACCCAGGGTTATGGGAACTTATCATCATGAGGATTTGGGCTGAAGGTTGGGGTGACAAGAATGACTCGACACAAATGCATAATGTTCTTGGTGGGTGATTAGAGTCAGGGGGCATCTAGGGTAGGGGCTTTTACATTATACATGGAATGTACAAAATGTGAACCATGACTGGAAGAGTGCTGGCTCAGATGGGTCACTATTTTCATATTCAGGATCCTCCTATTCCTGCCTGCCGTGACCGGGGCATAGGTTGCATTACAGAAAATTGAATATTAAGAAAAAATTTCAAAATGACACAAATAACAAAATGTTACTTATTGTTATTATTATCATCAGTGCACTGAATTATGGACTATCTAGAGAGATAATATGGAGACTGTACAAGGAAAAACAAATCACATAACAAATAGAGACATTGGAAAATGGCAAAAAAGCTAAAAATGATTAAGCAAAAAGAGAAAATAACATTGCAAAGGGGAGGTATGGAGTCTTGTCACCACACACAAGTGTGCATGTGTTTATGATACTATCTGGATAGTCTGGATAGTGGCCTTACACGCTGCACACTCAGCAGAGTGCCTGCTTAAGTAAACCTAATACCCATATTTTGGGCTATGGGAAGACAGTGAAACATCCGGATTCAATGGGTCAAATTTCCTTAAATACTCAAATCAGTTAACAAACTACATCATGATATTTTTTCACTTACATACCAAATCTAGAATGTAATACTCTTTTTGAAACAAGAAAATATAAACAAAAGCTAAAACACTTACGAGCATCACAATTAGGAGAAGTGTTCTTGATTCCCTTATTGTCTGGACATGCACACTTGTATCCACCAGGTACAATGAGACATAGATGGGTACATGGTGTGTCTCTCTGACAGTTACTTGTCATTGATGTGTTGTATCTTTTTTCAGCAAAGACTGCAAGATAGAGTCAAAGCATAAGTAAACATTTTCTTCCTTTAATGAACTGTTACTGACAGCAAATAAAATGATTGATGTATGTCAGAATAATCTGATGTATAAATCCAATGAAACCTTCCTTCTTTCTAAACAAATTCTGGAAAGGTGACAAATACTGATAATCATATGCTACTATGACTTAGCAAAAACTTGTAAATGAGAGGCATACCTTTAATACTTGTTGGATTAGCAAACTCTCCTGGGAACTTTACTGGGACTCCCCTTCCAAACTTATCCATATTATAAATTTCTCCTGAGTCACGTGTAACCCAGTACAAGCTAGATTCAAAGACATCTAGAGAAAGAGGATGTTTGAGTTGGCTTCCAGAGGCCACCAAAGTTCGTTTTGAACCATCTTCTCGCATCATTTCAATCTTGTTCAGCTTAGCATCTACCCAGTATATTGTATGATCCATGGCAAAATCAATAGTGAGTCCAGTAGGTTGGCTAATAGCATCTGATACAAGAATCCGTCTTTTGCTGCCATCCATCCAAGAGGTTTCAATTTTTGGAATTGAGCCAATGTCAGTCCAGAACATGTATCCATGATCAGGATCAACAACAATAGATGTTGGATCTTCGAGGCCTGTTGCAATAACAACATGACGGTATCTACCATCTAATGTGGCCACTAGTACAGATCCTTTAGGTTTATTACCTGTGCGATCAGTTTCACTCCAATACAAATTCATAGCAGCCCAATCAATAGCAAGACCTGTGGGCTTGGCTCTGCTTTTGATTTCTAAGTTTTGAGCATAACCCACTGTTACATTTGCCCTACCAGGTGATCCAGGCAGATAAGATCTCTTAATGGTCTTTCCATATGAATCAGTCCAGTAGACAATGCCAGACTCTGGTTCATAATCAAGAGATTCAATGCTGTCTCCTTTGATTACAGTCATGGCTCTATTGGAGGTCAGATTGAATGCCCTTATTTCTGGACTGTCTGAATACACCAAGGTGATTGCCCCGCCTTTTAAGCGGCAAATGCCATTCACTTCAAGCTCAAATCCTTCACGGCATGAACAGGCATGAGTACCATTTAGGTTGGTACACAACTGAGAGCAATTGTGAGTGAACTCTGCACACTCATCTATATCCTGGCATGCCTTAGGATTGTCTGGTTTTATTCTGAATCCTCTCAGGCAATGGCATACAAATCCACCATCCTTGAGATCTGTACAAGTTTGTTCACAAAAACCAGCTGTGCAGTTTGCAGTCGAATCTGTAAATAAAAATAATAGTTGTAAGTTAAGATAGTTATAAATCATTTTGAGACAAATTAAAAAAACAAATTACACAAACAGCAGCAACTGTAAATAAACTTACGGCATCCAAGTTCATCTGAATTGTCTCCACACTCATCTGCATGGTTACAAATCTTATCTGCCTCAATACACTTTCCATTTGCACAACGGAACTCATTATAGATGCAAGGCCGAGGACGATGAGAACAAATGGTCATGTTGTTTTCATCCGATCCATCTCCACAATTATCATTACCATCACATTTCTGATACAGTGGTATGCATTTATGGTTGTTACACTGGAACCTTCTGAGGGTATTACAAGTATAGTTGCCTGAAAGAAAGAGGATTCTATTAGACCCTTTTGGTCACAAAAATGCTTATAACTTCTCTCACAAAAGCCAGAAAACACTATACATATTCTAATTTCTATATTTCTCAATAATATTACATCTAAACATCTACGAGAACAGACAAAGCATAAAATATTAAACTTACTGCAAAGACTTTCACGTTCATCAGAATTGTCATAGCAATCATTACTACCATCACACAGGTCTGTCATTTTGACACAAAGGTGATTGTCACACTGGAACTCCTCTTCGTGACAGTACCGGCCATTAGGGAACCGTGGCTCACAACTAAGCTCGTCACTCAAATCATGGCATTTCTTTTCACCATCACAATGTAAATGTTCTTGAATGCAGTGACCTGATGTGCACTGGAACTGTCCATCCTAAAATGTAAAAGTATTGTAAGTTTGAGACAAAACAACAATGATTTCAACTAATCATTATGTTTTCCAACTCTACTTGACAACTCTTTAAGCAATCTTACCCTGCATTTATGCTCTCCGCAGTTTTCTTCATCAGAATTATCACCACAGTCATCATCGAGATCACAGCGCCAACGGTTTGGTATACATTTGTTGTTGTTACAGCGGAATTCACTCTCAGAACATTGCCGATACTGGCTGCTACACATATCTTCATCTTCATCAGAGTTATCTCCACAGTCATTTTCAAAATCGCATAGCCAACGCCTACAAGTTAGGATAAATTTGTTACTTTCAATCCATGTAAATTATGCTATATTATACATTATTATTATTTAGGTATCATATGCAAATAATATATCCAAGAATCATGTACAGATATTCCTTTAACTGCTAAAAATTCTTACTTAGGAATACAACGTCTGTTCTTGCACTGGAAGTCTCCACTTTCATGACATTTTGGGCAGTTTTCTATTTGTTCATCGGTATTATCTCTACAGTCGTCCTTGCCATCACAGAAGAGCCATTGAGGAATGCAACGATAATTTGTTCTGCCTGGGCACCTGTGATTTTGAAAAATGCAAGTTATTAAGAGATATTGGAAGACTTTTGTCATTTAATTTTTGTAAATGATTGAACTTATAACTTCTCACCATAATGCTCCTTCCAAGATTTTGGACTCTTTCCAACCATTACAACTAGAAGAAAATACTATGTAATATTATGATAACACATACCTACACAACTAAAGGTTGGATCTTAATACATTGAGCTTACCTCTTCCATCCTTCTGTACAGTTTTGTTGCCGACACCGGAATGCAGGTTCATCAGAGTTGTCACCACAGTCATTGTCTAAGTCACAGAACCACTGGATGGATATACATTTGCCATTATGGCATTGATATTCTGTTTCCTTATCACATGGTCTGTAATCTGTGTGGAAAACAAAAACCATCCAGATGTCATGAAGATACTTGTACATAAACACATGTCCAACAAAGATAGAATTATATAAGAAATTGAACTGAATAAAAATACTGAATTACAGAATTTCTGACATTATTATATTAAACAGTCGATTAATATATATCTCGTATACACATCAAGGACACATTTGGGGGGAGGGGGGGGGGCTGAAATATACATACATATATCCTAAAAAAAATTATACACAGCAAATGATCCAATGCAGATGACAAACTTACTGCACTCTTCTCCTTCATCTGAACCATCACGGCAATCCTTATCTCCATCGCATTTCCATGCTATGTTGATACATTTCCCACTACTTTTGCACTTGAATTCTAACTCAGAACATTCCAAATCACAATCGTTCTCATCAGATCTATAAAAAAACAAAAAGAAATTCATATAATGCTTGATCTTCATAAAAAACATGGTATGGAAGATATTAAGAAAAAAAAAAAAAAAAAAAAAAAAAAAAAAAAAAAAAAAAAAAAAAAAAAAGGTTAGAAAAGTTTCTCTGGTCTTTGTCTCTATGTATAAGGAATAATTTTATTACATGAAAAAGTAATGTATGCAATACTTAATAATATTCAGTTTATTCAGTTTTTTGGTTTTGAAAACTACGATATAGAGACAGATCTCGTATACTCTTACTTATCTGAACAGTCTTCTTGTCCATCACAAAGCTGAGTGGGAGCAGCACATCCATTCCCATCTTTACACTGGAAGTATCCAGGACGGCACTTTCTTTCAGGACAAAAATCACCAGGAGGCTCATCACTGCCATCAGCACAGTCCTTTTCCTTGTCACATCTGCATATCAAGAGTAACTTTTAGTATCTTTACAACATAAATAATACTAATATCATTCACTAACAAAAGCTATGGAATTTGGTTATCAGTCTTCTGGGGAAAAAAAAGACATACTTACTTCCAATAACTGGGGATACACTTGTCATCTTCACCAGCGCAACGGAATTGACTTTGTGTGCAGTTTGCAATACAGCTTTTTCCATCACGGCCAAGGTAAAACTGATCAGGGCACGCACACTTGTATGTCACGGTACCATTCTCAGTTGGTGATAGCAAACAAAGATGAGAACACCCACCATTGTTATCACCACAAGGATTCTTGTATGGAGGCTGACGTAACGGATGGTATACTTGAATGTCGTAAGGTCGGTGGGTAGTGTTTCTCAAGAACTGTAGGTCCTCACCAGTAAATTTATGTGCACGAAGAATAGCCTTTAGGTTCCAATCAGTCCAGTAAATATAATCATCAAATACTGTAATTGCAAAAACATGTGGGACCTTGGTACCTCCCATAACTACATGTCGGTTCCTGCCATCCAGGTCAGCAAAAGCAATGTAATCAAGATGAGCATCTGCCCAGTAAATTCTGTCAGCAAAGAAATCAAAAGTCAGTGCATTTGGCCAAATGATCTTATTCTCAAATCCAAGAACACGTGAGAAGTTGGACCCATCCATTCCAATACGGCCAATGTAGGACTGAAGATGCCAGTCAGTGAAGTATACATAGCCAATGCCAGGATGAACTGCTACTGCTCGGGGATCATTAATACCACTTGCCTTGAGGGTCTTACGATTAGTGCCATTCAGCTCGGCAACATCCAAGTGTTTACTGTGTCGGTCCAACCAGTATATCTTTCGACCTACCCAGTCTACAGAAAGTCCCTCTAGGCCATCGCTGTCATGTTTAATAATCTCTTCTTTATCTGTACCATTGATTTGGGCTCTATATATCATTTTGGCTGTTACATCAGCAAAATAGATCATTTCATCCTTGTCATCGAAGTCCAAAGCCACAACATTTCGCATGTCCTGATGCATTAAGAGGTATTGTGAGCCATCAGTTGTCAGGCGCCTCACATAATACTTATTAGTGAAGAATATCCAAGGTTGTTTGTTGTCTTTCCTCTTGCAAATGCTTACATTTGCTTCTCGCTCATAGAACCTTTCATCACACTTACAGTTGTATGAGCCTGGATTGTTATAACATTTCTGCGAACATACTCCTGGGGTTTCAACACATTCATTGATGTCTTCACATGCTTTGCCATCTGGCATTAACCTATTGGGGTGAAAAAATAATATAAAATATACATGTATAAGTATGAAAAACTATGAAAGTGAAAGACTAAAATATAGACAGAAAGGGAAACGGAGTCAGGTAGAAAGCATAAATTATACACAATTACACAGACAGACAATAACAGCTAGATAGAAAAAAGAAAAGCATACATTTTTCTCCTTGTATATCACATAAAAGTATATGTAAGTTTAAACATCCTAAAAATAAATACAAACATGATAAACTAAAGTAAATGACAACTTCTACATACTTGTATCCTTGGTTGCAGGCACATTCAAAGCCAATAATTGTGTTGATGCACTTGTGACCACACTGATGTAGTTCTACTTTGGCACATTCATCAACATTACAATGGAGTGGCTCATCAGAGTCATCTGAGCATTCACTCACTTTGTTGCATAGTAATTTCATAGCTATACATTCCCCATTCTTACACTGGAATTCTGCTGGTCCGCATGTCTTCTCAGGTTCTGAAATGTATATTTGTCATGAACAAACAACTCAGAGTATTATGTAATGCAGTACATTTTCAATGTTTCTAAATTATTCTTTACAATATTTTCATCAACATTTATGAATGCAGTTAATGCTAGTAAATTTATATTACCAAGGTTAAAGAGCTTAATAATGATAAGTCTACATTCTTCACTCACCACATCCAACTTCGTCTGAATTATCACCGCAATCATCCTCTCCATCACAATGGTATGTCTTGCGAATACACTTTGCATTGGAGCAAGTAAATTCATCAGATGAACACTCTCTGTACTGGCTGTTGCATTCTATTCCTTCATCAGATCCATCTCCACAATCATTGTCAAAGTCACACTTCCAATCCTATGGAAAAAAAAAGTCTTAAATTACATGAATTTCTTTGGGTTTCCATATCATTTATCTTAAAATGTATGAAACATCAGCAAATATCTAAGCCCTCTCCATACACTATAACATGAAAAAAATATATATAATAATAATAATAATAATAATAATCTGTTTCACACTTACCTTACTGATGCACCTCCTATTTGTACATTGGAATTGATTTTCAGCACACTCTTCTGGTTCTGGGCAATTAAGCGTTGTTGTGTTCTCATCTGCACCATCTACACAGTCAGGGTCACCATCACACACCCACTTCCGTGGGATGCACATTGCACGTCCCCACTGCTTGTTGTTATTGCATGTGAACTCTGTCTCCTCATCACACTTTCGGTTATCTGGAATAAGTGTTAATGCTTAATCAAAAGGTTTTCTAAAATTGTATAAGATCTGTGAAAATCATCCTTCTTATAAACTTTTACAAAATAATTCACAAAAAACTCTATTATGAAATGATATATGAGGTAACAATACAATTACAAGCCAATTATAAGTCAAATCTTTTGACTTGAGACTTACTGCACTTGTGCCTGTCATCTTCATCTGAACCATCTAAGCAGTCATTATCTCCATCACAGATGTAAATCTTGGGTACACAGTTTCCATTGTCACATGTGAACAAATCCCCAAAGCATGTCCTTCCCTCTTGCTCACAATACTCTTCTGGTTCATCAGCACCATCACCACAATCATCATCACCATCACAGTGCCAAGTGCCCGGGATGCATCTGTGGTTTGGACACCTGGAAGGGGAAAGAAATTGAATGGTAGCTAAACTACTGTTAAAAGAATACAGTTAATGTCAAAAACTAGTTTTACTTTACTTCATCACTTTTTTGTCATATAAATTCAAATACAATATTAACATAATATAGACCACAACTAAATTCTAGTTTTAAAATACTTGACAAGAACATTACCTGAAGCTATTAGGTGGACATGAACGTTCAGAACAGTGAAGAGGGTTCTCATCAGAATTGTCACCACAGTCATTATCGCCATCGCACAACCAATATGGTTCCACACATATGGTTGTATTTTCACATTTGAGGTGGTTTGGTGGACAGGTCACCTCAGGGCAAAGTTCAACATTTTCATCAGAGGTGTGTTTATCCTTACACTCATTTACACCATTACAAACCTAAAAAAAAAGAAAAAGAAAAAAGAACACTAAAGTTTTAAAACATTTTACTTCATCCTCATTCTTATCAGACAGATCTTACACCCTTTGTTGTTTTTACACTTCCAATTAATATCTTTAAGAAAAGAAAATCCATTATCATTAGATTGCTATCACATTATCAAGACTTCTTGCCCCATACACTTTTAACTGAGTATATAAAGTGTGCAACAAAGTGACCAAAATACTGAAAATACCGTAAGGTAAAAATAAAAATTCCAACACAAACCTGTGATTGTGGTATGCATCTGTGATTTGCACATGTAAATTCTCCATCAGCACATGGGGGATATTCACAACCTTCTTCATCTGAACCATCACCACAGTCATCCTCATGATCACACTTCCATGTTGAGAAAATGCAACGTCCATTCTTGCAACGGAACTCACTGGGGCTGCATGTGTGGTATGCTGTGGGAAGCATGAGAGAATTATTATCATACCTTAAATCAGAAAAAGCCTATATGAAATTAACATAACCACATAATAGAAGACTAGATGATACAGCCATGAAAATAACAAATATCAACTGCCAACACATTTGACCACAACTTACTGCAGTAGTTCCTGTCTTCATCTGAATTATCACCACAGTCATCAGATCCATCACAAGCCCACAATCGTGATATACATTTTCCATTGGCACAGTAAAACCTGTTTGCATCACAACTGTAATTCTTTGGGACACACATCTTGTTCTCATTTACAAGCTTCAAAGTAGAATTACATTTGCACTCAACCTGAGGGAAATTTAGTAGTAATTAGCTTATTGCACTCAATATCAAAATATTCAGAAGATAACTGCTGTTATGAATATTCAAATATAAATATAAATAACATAAAAAAAACACTAAAATACCTTATTGTCAGGAACTGGATGACAAGATTGTGCACATCCACCATTGTTTATTTCACAAAGGTCAATTTTGCATTTCTGTCGTTCATCAGAAAACACGTGAATGTCCCTTGGTGATTCTTCCAACCTGCGAACCATCTCTACCATGTCACCACCTGTGTACTTTTCTGCCCTAAAAACTCCCCTCAGTTGTAGATCAGTCCAATAAATGAAATTTTTATGGACAGTAATCGCAAATGGATATATAGTGGCAGAGATAATGACCTGTGAAGCAAAAGAAAAACAATTAGTTACATCAAAAAAATTATTTACATATACTTTCCTCTTCTTTCATAGTCCAACTTTAAAATCAAAATATATTTAAGAGAAATTGATGGCAGTTCTGAACAAAGGAATTTTGATATTCACCTCTCTCTTAGTTCCATTCAGATATGACCTTTCAATATTCTCTCTTACAGCATCTGTCCAGTACAGCATTTCTTCTTCATAGTCAATAGTCAAACCACTGGGCTGAGATAGGTCATTTCCTATGATGATTTGCCTAAATGACCCAGCCATGGTTGAACGATAGATCTTGCCCGAAGTGCCATACCTTCCCCAGTCAGTGAAGTACATATGTCTGTATAAGCAAAAGAAAGAAAAATCAAAATAAGATATTCAGTAAGTCATAATAATTTTTTAGTAATTAAATATGATAAATGTCATAATTCCACTCATGAGAACACTCCAAAATTCACATAATTCTTACCCTCTGCATGGATCCAAGACAAGAGCTCTTGGTCGTTCGACTTGAATAATCATAACTACATGAGATCCATCCATGTTCATTGCATAAATACTGTTGTTTGCAGAGTCTGTCCAGTAGATTTTCTCTGATGTCCAATCATATGCAATGCCTTCAGGATTTATTCCAGATTGTAAGATTGGCTTGATATCATCCACAGAAGGTGATAAACTAGACATGGTAGCAATCTTTGTGTCTGGTCTGATTTGTGTAAATAATAGTTTCTTGTCTTTGTAATCAAAATCAATTCCTACTACATTAGTCAAACCCTTAACTGCATCAAATGGTACAGTATTACTCTTGGGAGTTAGTGATAAACTTCGGATTTCAGTTCGTGTTGAAAAGACTAGATATTCTTTTGAATCTTCACAATCTCTCTTATTATCTGCTAAAACTCCAGATGCACAGTCACACCTGAAGGTCAATTGTTCTGCATTATCTACTGGGAATGAGAAGCACAGCTGGGCACATCCACCATTGCCAAGTCTTGTACATGGGGTATCGGCCTGGAAAATTGAAATATAAATTATATTTCTCTGCATATTCAAACAAATGGCTCAGTAAATGATTAGCTACCAAGGAGTCAAATAGTATGCCCTACATGATCGCAGCTGAATTTCCTCTTCCTAGTTTTTTTGTGAAAATGCTTCATTCTATTGCTATGAATAACGATACTGTTTTTATTATATTTAATATTATGTTCATTATAATATAATTAACAATACTATTCACAATAAAAATAAAGAAGAATCTTTTCAATAAATCAAGAAAAAGGATAAACAGGACATGACAGCCATCCCAGCATCACTGGGTTAAATAAAATAACTGCTTTATGAAACTGTAGTACCCACCTTTGAAGGCTGATTGGTAGAATCAAAATATCAATTGAGGCTCGGAAGATAGTATTCAGATTTCTATCAATCCAATATATATAGTTCTTGGAATAATGGTAATCCACATGCAGGACATTGTGGCCTGAAAATGAAGTTTAGATACATGTTAATGTCATTAATTTTCAAATGTAAACTTCTATATGAATAATCTATTCATGGAAGTTATTTTCATTAATTCAACCATTTGTTCTCTAACAAAAAAACTAACCAGGTTCAGCAATGGGTGCCATAGCCTCTCCTGCACCATCCAGACTGAAGCCTCTGACAATGTCTAATTGTGATACAATAGCAAATTTGTCATATGGTTTGCAACCCTTTTCTCCATCAGCTTTGTATCCTGTGGTGCATCTACAGGTTCGCTGTTTTTCAATCTTTGGAATGCAGATGTGCTCACATCCACCATTGCCAAGTCTTGTACATGGGGTATCAGCCTGGAAAATTGAAATATAAATTATATTTCTCTGCATATTCAAACAAATGGCTCAGTAAATGAAAGAAGAATCTTTTCAATAAATCAAGAAAAAGGATAAACAGGATATGACAGCCATCCCAGCATCACTGGGTTAAATAAAATAACTGCTTTATGAAACTGTAGTACCCACCTTTGAAGGCTGATTGGTAGAATCAAAAATAGCTATGTCTCTTAGATTTTCCATATTGGTCTTAAACCGTTCTGCCTGTGTAGTATTTCCTGAATATTTTGAGGCTCGGAAGATAGTATTCAGATTTCTATCAATCCAATAAACAAAGTTATTATTCAAAGCAAGCCCCATAGGATTAGGCAGCTTCCTTCTAATGAACTGACGGTTTCCACCACTGAAGCTAACCTGAAAACAGAAAGACCTTTCTATGAGATACTAAGCTTTTCCACTTATTCAAACAACACTCTCACACCCATTTAACTTTATAGTTTATTTAAATCTTCTGCATATATATGCAATCAATAAAAAATCACTTTTGAAGTTTTAAGAATCAGTATAATAATTTCTGTGATTATTTCACAGAGAAAGTTTTCTTTTTCATATACATACCTTGTTAATGGAATCAAGTGCTGAATCCACCCAGTACACATCATGTGTGTACATATCCACAGTAATATCCCTTGGATTACTCACTCCACTAGTTACAATTGGCTGCCATTTCGTACCATCAAGATATGCCTTTCCAATCATAGGGAACTGTCCATAATCAATCCAATAGATGTACCTACAAAACATTGAAACATTTCTTAGGCTTGAATTTTGATAACAGAGATACTTTTACATGCACATAATGTCCAAAATTAGTGGAATCTACACTGAATAAACATTTGTTACAAAACTGCTGCTCCCATAAACATGAATAGTTTAGTCCTACAATGGTAAAAATATATCTAGTTTTAACTTGGTATGAAAGAAATATGAAAATCATTACCTGGCTGCATTAATTATATCCTACCTTTTAATTGGATTGACAGCCAACTCTCTTGGGGAGTCCTTAGTGACACTCTTAAGCACCATTCTGTTGGTACCATCCAACCAAGATACTTCTACATATGTCTCATGTGGGAACACATTGGTGAAGTAAAGATTATTAGCAATCCAATCAATTGCAATACCCCTGATTCCATTTGACCCAATGCCAGTAGTGACAACTCCTTCCTTCTCAGTGCCATTTGGTCTTGATCTATAAATTCCATTAGAGCCTCCTTGATTAAACTCAATCCAATATATATAGTTCTTGGAATAATGGTAATCCACATGCAGGACATTGTGGCCTGAAAATGAAGTTTAGATACATGTTAATGTCATTAATTTTCAAATGTAAACTTCTATATGAATAATCTATTCATGGAAGTTATTTTCATTAATTCAACCATTTGTTCTCTAACAAAAAAACTAACCAGGTTCAGCAATGGGTGCCATAGCCTCTCCTGCACCATCCAGACTGAAGCCTCTGACAATGTCTAATTGTGATACAATAGCAAATTTGTCATATGGTTTGCAACCCTTTTCTCCATCAGCTTTGTATCCTGTGGTGCATCTACAGGTTCGCTGTTTTTCAATCTTTGGAATGCAGATGTGCTCACATCCACCATTGCCCACCATACAAGGATGAGAGTTGATGACTGGAAAATGAAAATATTATCAGTAATTTTCATCATCTAATCCAAACTTTGTCAAAGATTTTAAGAGACATAACCAAAATCCATTGCATTCCATACCCATTCCCTCACTTCATTCACCAAAGTCTAAATCATTATATTTCTCATAGCAAACTATCTTTGCATGTTCTCCACATACTTTTGTTACACCCTTTCTTTACTATCTCTGGGGCTGTCTACAGGAGACAATAACTTTCAATTTAACCCAAAAGCCCTGAGAAAATGTGTTTACTGTAGTAACGTTTTGTGAAATATCTCTGCAAGGCCTTAGCCACAAAGGAATCAACTTGGAGACCTTGTGACCCCACCTGATTTCACCTGTTCTTGAAATTGCAGGAAAAAGGTTTTTCATTTCCTTATGTTATCAATATCAATAGTTATTTTTATTATAGATTTTATAATTATTATAGTGTTTTGACATTACTAACAGCAATATTAGATACCGGAAAATATTATAAAAAATCAGGGAAAAGTGTAAACAGGTGAGGCAGATAGTACTCGTAACTGACTTATTGGTGACTTGGTACTTGTGGACCAATCTTTGTAAAATCAATTAACAAATCAAACTCACAGTGGGCATGGCATGCATGTACATGCCATCCCTGGTGGCTTGGGGTTAAGATATCATCTCTTTTGATATTCTAATCTAAATATAATACAGTGGTATTTCAGACAAAGTATCACTTTAATTCTTTAAGTATTACTTCACAAAACACACTTTATTAAAATATTTCTTTGGTATGATTTACACCCAAAGATCAGTCTTCTGTGACTGACATATTTGTGCATTTCCCTTTTAAAGTTATGATTCCTTTCCCATGCAGTTTACTGTATGAAATTATTCAACTGAAGCTCCCATATCCACTTTTAACATGAGACATGCCATTTCCCAAATCAAGCATTGAAAATTTTGGCTTGGGAGTGCAAATAGAGGAAGTCCATAAAGAATCAGAAAAGTAAAAGCTTGGTGCAAGAGTGGAAGAAATATTACAGTGCAGAGAGAGCAATATCAACTGGCAAATCATTAAAGAAACTCATCTCAGTTGATAGATCATAACAAAGCTTTAATGACAATGTTTGATTTGAGTGGTGCACGCAGGTAGTGAAGTTCAGCACTTACTCTTCTTCTCCATCTCACCTGGCCTCTTCTGGAAGACCTTAAGGGACTTCAGATCACTTTCGTTTTCCAGCAGCGTCTCTGGGTTCAGGCCATCAGGAAGATCAACACGCTCCACCTTCTCATACGATGAATCAAGATAATAGAGTCCTGAAAAGAATTAATGAATAGTTAAATTCTACTTCAAAGGATGCATGAATAATGCACAGTAATCACTAATCCATATCTGATACTCAGGACTTACTGAACAATGCTAAACTTACTGCTCTCATATACAGCTAAAGCCTTTGGTCGAGCAATGTGATTTGCCTCGGTCAGGATTTCTCTTATGTTATTACCATAAACATCACTTGTCATAATCTGCAACAGGGAATGGTTTTGCATGAATTAAATCATGTGATATATAAAATCTAACAACATATAATCACGTCAAAAATTATTTATTTCTCTGTCTTTACCACCTTCACAAAAATGTGGTAAAGGAATAATATAGCACTTGCACAATATACTGTATTCTTATAAATATAAAGACAAAATATCTAGTGACAGGACCATACAGTCATTGTGTATTAGTGGTCTTCTAAATCTAAACTAAATCTTAATGAAAAAATTAATTATTGCTATCATTCTAGGTATTTTGCAGTAGCTGAAGTGACAAAATTAGATATGCAATAAATAAATCTTTGCAACTGAAAATAAACACAAATAATACACATTGTATATACAAATATGAATCTTAAATGAAGAACATATTTCTTTATTCGTATGTTTACCTTTGAGATAACTTCCTCTCCTTGCTGCTTGTGGATTTATACATAAATATTTTTTTCAGTTTAATACAACAGTACATATTACTAACCAATTCATTTATTTTTATACGAGATTCTATCATCTATTTAAGTTTATAGTGTACACACTTAACATCTATCATGTTACTGTTTCTTCATCATATTCTTTGGATAAAAAAAGTTCAACAGCTTCATACGGCAGCTAAATGACTTACCTTAGCCTCATTACTAGTTGACCAGTACAAGTTCTTGGCTTCAATATCAATTGTGATATACTCTGGTTGGATATTTGTGAAATTGTAAAGAATAACTGGATTTGAACCATCCATGCTGACTTTGCCAACCTTTGCTGGAACTCCAGTACCACCATCATCAAGCCAGTACAAGAACCTGTTGCAAAAAGAAATGTATGAAAGATTGTACTCTATTACTGGTCTTTGTATAAAGAAAACAACTACTACATGTACCATATTCTGTGAAATTCACTTACCCATCAACAGGATCCAGACACATAGACTTGGGCCTTCCAATACCTGTGGCATTGCCATTGTTATCTAAAATGACACTCTGGTATTTAATCTTGCCATCTAACTTCAAGACCTCAATGTTGTTAGCTACACGATTTCCAATATACATGTTACGGCCAACCCAATCCCATGCCATTGTATAAGGTGAACCAACAATTCCAAAATCTAGGTAGGTCGAACGATTGCCACCACCTATCTCCATTGTGTATATGGTACCCTGAAAAAAAAAAAATAATAATAATTAGTAAAAAAAAAAAAAACACACACAAAAAAAAGAAAAACAAAAAAAAGTACTCAGTAACTAAAAACAGTACAGTGTTATAATCATCCATATCTCATAATCATATACCTGAAATAGAAAAAAAAAAAAAAATGATAAACAAAACCAAATGTAATCCTCAAAATACATACATTTTCACTGTCTTCTTCAACAGCTTCGATCCAGAATATACGATCCCCATTGCGATCATAATCAAGCTGAAGACCATGTTCCACTCCCACAATGGGAGTCAGGAAGCCAGCTGCACCTTTCTCTCCTGGTGTTAGTGCAACATCTACAATCTGGCTTCCTTTCATTACCATAAGGTAGGGAGTCTCCTCTGAAAGAAATACAGGAAAAAAAATATTTAAATCTGATTGTTAGAAAAAGGTATCAATAATTATGAAAAATCCCTAATGTGCTTATCTGCAATAACTTATCGTCATACATACCCTGGTTACACTTTCCACCACTGGCTAACTTGTACCCTGGACGACACAAGCAGGTATATCCTTCAGGATGTCTCAGAACACAGAGGTGGTCGCATGGATTTGATGCACAAGGATTATTTTCTTCAGGCTGTTGGAAATGAAAAAACAAAAAATTATAATTTCTTTGGTATTGCTTTGCCCTATTTTTTCTTTCTTTTTTTTAACACACATGTTTCTTGGGGCACACCCAAGGTAAGTCAAATTTCCTTTATTATGCAAAATTAAATACACTAATATTTAGTAGATTATGTAAATAAAATGTTCCCCCACCATCTGTGTAATTCAAAAACCATTAAATGAAAGTGACACATCAATTTTCCTATCTAAGCACAACTTATATTTTTATGGCCTCCTCCCTGCCCTCTCTCCCCCCCAAAAAAAAATCCTAGGTGCACCTTTGCATGCATCTCCCTCACACACACTATATCAATCTATCCATGTCTACTAAAGTTATATAGAATAAATATCATTACACCTAATATTTTCATTATTCAGTTTGAAACTTGAAACCTATTCCTAAAATGATACACAACCTAAATGGAAAAAAATATATATGTAACCCTCAAACTTGCCTGTAAAATTGGATGGTGTACATGTATACTAAGGGGTTGTGAAACAAGATGTGACACAACAGATTCATTATTTCCATGGAACTTGTGTGCTGATAATACACGATTAAGTTGCCTGTCTGTCCAATACACATTATCTTCAAAGATGGACAGTGAGTGTGGATGAAGGAGGTAATGGCTTTGGGCGAGGACCTGCAATGAGAATACATGTCAAATTACTTAATGCTAAGAGTCAGTAGCCAATATTTACTGCAATCTATTTGTGATTCATAATTTTATGCAAACATTAATACCACTGATGTACTTACCTGCTGCCTTCCAGAGCCATCATAGTTGCAGAAATCAATATAGTCCAACTTGGAGTCAGCAAAGTAGATCCTCCTAGTAGGTATGTCTATTGTGAGACCGTTGGGCCAGAAAATCTTGCTCTTGATGATGATTGTTCTTTCCTTGCCATCAAGACTGCTCCTTTCAATCCTAGGGTTCTCACCCCAGTCAGTCCAGAAGAGCCAACGAGCACTGGCGAGAGAGAAAAAAATGTTACCAAAGTTTAACCCAAATGGCATGGATAGCAAGAATACATGCCATGCTGAATGTAATATAAGTTTATTTATTCTATTTACACTTAGATAGCTCTACCAGTGCTTAATCACCAAGGAGTCAGTAATCAGTCCTACTTATATCATCTGTTTACCCTTTACTAGACTTTTGGAAAGGGTCTATTGCATTATTTCATTGTCTTAAATGTTACCAAGATTTAAACAATTTAATAATCATAACATCAAGAACAATAATAACAGTATCAATATCAAATGTATCAAAAAGGAAAACATATTTTCCCACCAATTCAAGGAATGGGGAAATCAAAACCAGTCACTAGGGCTACTGATAGACTCCTTGTCGGCTGGGCACATGTGGAGCCATCTGTATGTAACAACATTCACAAAAAACTACAGAGGACAGATGTAAATCCATGGTGTTTGGGTTATGGTTCTTCGTATTACAATAAGTTATAAAACCTATTAAGAAGTCAAAATGAACACAGCCATTTCCTAACCAGTCTCAATTTCAATTTATATATATATATATATATATATATATATATATATATATATATATATATATATATATATATATATATATATATATATATATATAGTTTTCATATTTATACACACAATCATAATTGCCACAAATGATATTATCTGCTTTACCCTTCTGTGGGATCAAGTGCAAGACCACGAGGCTGGGAGATGTTCTTGTTGAGAAGTATCATTCTGCCGGATCCATTTCTACGTGATACCTCTAAGGTGTTGAGACGGGAGTCAACCCAGTATATATTTCCAGTGATCCAGTCATATGACAGCCCTTCTACTAAATCAAGTCCACTACCAACAAGCTGAAAATAAATAAGATTTTAAATAGCAATTTCTATATTGTAGAAAAAAGCCAGTTATTCATAAATATACATCATAATGATCCATAGTACTAATTTCTCAAGTCAGAATCAACCTTCCAATGGTAATTTGGAATAACAACTTACTACTTCTGGCTGGCTGCTGCCTTTTTCTAATTTCACAATTTGTTTGACTTTCATGTCAGAC